ATGTGAATGACTGGACAAAATTTTTCTGGAAGCACATGACCAGTTCAGCCGTTCTTGCCGCTCGTCAGGCATGTGTATCTGGCAATCTTTCGTCAGTTCTTTTATACACTTGTACCCAGGAAGTGTATTTTTCATATGAACGAACTGACAAAAGATTACCAGATATGTATGCCTGACAAGTGGCAAGAACCGCGAAACCGGTCGTGTCTCCCGGGAAATTTTGTCCAATCATTCACGTACTACTTATTATGAAATATTATATAAATAAAATCAAGTCACGTTTGTTACGGTTAGTAGCATCCAATCCACCCACAAAACATCGAATCATAGCATTGATTTTTCAATAGACTGGTTCTGAAAGAGCTGTCCAACTAAAAGTCACCCAATTCAGTTCTAAAAAACTGGATAAAGAGAACCTAAAACCTACGATTAGTTGGTAATGCCATCCAACTGTCACAGTTTCAAAGTTTCAATTCTACGAAAACATGGTTGATCACGTTTTCAATATAAATACACTCAATCGTAAAGCACATCGGTCTTACGCTGAATTGATTGGTGCATACAGAATGGAATAAATCAAAGACAATCCACCCTTTTATGCGATTTCGCAGATTGATGTAATTTTCAAAAACTTGCAGACACCAAAGGAAAAACTTAAGCGGCCTCCCGAGGTCGAGATGGCCGATTGATTAAGGCACTGGACTTGAAATCCAATGGGGTTCCCCCGCGCAGGTTCAAACCTTGCTCCCGACAGGTAGTTTGGCTCTGTCTCTCAAAATAGTTATGAGTTAAACAATGACCCCCATCCCCACACTCACCTCGGTCAATGATCGCCAATCCATGTTCGCACTGCCCAAATAGCCATGTCTGTTGTCCACCGTCCACAGTTTGGTGTGTATAATACCACGTCCGAGAAGTTTGGCAACATCCACCCAGTAGATAGTTGCACCTGTGTGAAAACAAATGAGAAATTAGGAAATAAATCGCTCGTCTAAACTTGCTCGATTAAAAAGAAATTTTGAGCTAGAACTTAAATGTACCACGTGGGAACAAATACCTCATTCATACATTTCAGGATTACCATTAACAAACTCGCTTGATGAGGAATCAATCCATTCGAAAATCCGTGTCCTGATTTGAACAGTTTGATGGGGCTATGTAGTTTAGCCCAAGTGGGATGTAGCGAACAGGTTACTATTGTATTGTTTTTCATTATATTGTATTGCATTGTATAGCATACTAATTATGGCATCTATTTCAGTCAGTATTGTACACATTTGAGAGAGGGAAGAAGAGAAAAAGTTGATTCCTGAAACGCTTAACAAAGTCTGCGAAAACCGGTTCTTTCATGAAAAGAATACGTGTTAAAAGTGGTGCCGTGGAGCTACGATATATGCTCATACGAGAATGAATACAACGATTTGGGGATCTAGTTGACGGGGATGGGAACAATAGTAAATTAAATCTGTGCAGTTGAAGGGTGTGAAGTTGATAAGAATCTTATGTGCAAACTTTTTGCACGTTTTCAAATGACGTTCGCACAGGTCAGTGGTTATTAAATCCTCCAACCGTGTTGAAGAGACGCGGCTAATGATAAACAGTACATGTGGAACCACACACACACTAGCCAAATTTCGACGCGTCCTAACAGGGCTAGAAGGAACAAACGCGATCACAGAACAGTGGAAAACATGACCGGATGAACAGAACAATTATTCTGATGGTGTAACAGATCAAAACCGGGTGAACCATTTGGTCTAATAATGTAATGGAGAAAAGGGTAAACAAATGAAAACAAATATTTGAAATACCTAGCCTTCAGATTTCGCCTCTGTAGGGACTTTATTTTTGTCAT